TTTTTTTACGTTTAAATAATTTTTTAAGCGCCTTTTTCAAAAATTATAATTTTAACCGAAATAACTTTCCAGGTATTTATAATTTATGTGAAAAATATGTGGAAAAAAACGAATATAAATTATATCGAGTTCAAGTGTTCATGTCAAAATTGTCTGAAATTCTTAGCGTAGGAATAAAATGCGCTCAAAAAATGATCGAAAGTTGAAAAAATAAACCCATTTCCGAAAAAAAAACACATTGCCGCTAACATGTACAATATATGGGTTATATAAATAATAATTTGAAAAATTTAGTATAATAGATAAAAAAATTTAAATAATGAGTATAATAGTTCAAAATTTTTTGAATAAAAAAAGTGAAAACCCACATATAGTGTTGTTAAACCATCTAACTTTGGCCAGCTCTAAAACAGCTTGGTCAAGTTTTTAGTCTTAAAAATATAGTCTCTATCATTGAGTTGAGGCTAATCAGAATAACATTAACTTTATGAAATGCATTGATTTTAACATAATATCGACTAAATATTTTTTTACTCAGTATTTACATTTAGTTTAAAAATTTATTTTTAACACAAGTTACAATTATTTTGATCCCTTTTTTATTTATTTTTTATCTAAGCACAATAAATTAAAATCAAATGTTTAGGTTGTTATATATGTCAAAAAAAAGAAGAATAGAGATATAAATTTAAAACTGTGTGTTCAGCAGCGTTCATATGAGCGGATGGAGAAGGGTAGGAACGACGATTAAGTCAATTATTTAGGGGATTGTATTTTTTTACGTTTCCGGTTAACGAAATAAATTCTTTGACCCACAGTTATTCTTTAAAAAATTTTTATATAACCAAGTAATGTTGTTAAGCCCGATTAGGGGTCGATTTAGAAAAAAACGGCCATATTAGGATTATAACCAAAATAACATTGTGTAAGCCTAAAGATTTTACTCTACTCATAACATGGCAGAAATGCTAGGATATCTTATTTGACAAATCTAGATGCTACATAATATTATTTTCTAATCGGGAATTTTAATAAAACTATAACCAAGGGACTGCAATATATCGAGACTTAAAGATCTACAATAAAAATTTGCTGACTCCCCCTTCCCTCCCCCCAGCAAAGATCTTGTGACCCGTCATTTTTTTTATAATTTGGCCCATTTTCATTAATTATATTGGTCGCAATTTGCTAATAATTTCATATAGAAATTGAAAAAATTATGTCTGGATTAGGATTTGTTTTTCGTAAATTTTTCGCTTTTTAAACCAAGCGGATCTTAAAAATCATGCCATTTATTATGTCACCTAAACCGATCCTATAAAAAGGTCCGTGAAACGGTTTGAATTTTTTGATATTCTAACTCTTATAACGATTGAACAATTCTAATTTTTGATTTATAAGTTATCGGTAACTATATTTTTTTTGTACATTGCTATTTAACTCTGCCAGTTACCCAAGTCAGCGTGTAGGAGTGTTCTCAACCTTAGAATTTATTTTTTCTTCCTTATATATATAATTTGACAGGAAGAGAATCTTTCAAATATTCTAATTGCACAATATGACAATATGATAAAATATAAGCTTTTACTTAATCTTAAAATGAGTTTATTTGTGAAAAAGTCGGAATGGTTTTCGAGAATTCAAACCGAACCTATATCAACTACATTTTACCAACCGAACCTGAATAATAAACCTTAATTTATTGAACCACCCGAGCCAGAACTGAACCAAATTTGTAGGTTCGGGTTCCTGCATTCCACACTTCAATCTAAGCACCGTAATTAGTCTTTGACTAATATAGTATATTCATACATGACTATTTTGATGCAAATGCCCAAGTTTAAAAAAGGAAATATTTACTGACTCTCTTAAGTCGTAAAATTTTAGAATTTAGGATGAATACCTAAGAAAGCAACGAAAAGTTGTGAAAGTTTATGTTAAAGCAGCCGTCGACTTATTATTAGTATCAAGAACTGTTTGAATTTGAAAAGCCGAAAAAAAATGTGACCAAAAATGGAATGTTTAAAATTTGATAATATAAATTTTTTTAAAAAAATTAATATATAGTCATAATCTTTAATTTAAATAATCACATCGAAAACAACCATACTAGATGGAGTTATTTATTCCAGATATAGGTAAAGTGCTACGACAATGGGTTAAACTATGTTAGAATAAAGGTCTGACTGACAGAACCAATGACCGATATTAAAAGCCGACCTAGCCTGTAAACCGATTACGAAGGCCGGGTTACCATTTGACCTCAATTGCACTTATTGGGATATTTAATTAAAAAAAGAAAATAATTGAAAAACCTTTCTAAATGTGTTTTTTTTTATTTGTTTAAAAAAACTTTTGAAAAACTATAAATTTAATAAATGACAATGCATTAAATTTAATTGAAGGAAAGAAAGAAAATAATTGGTTTTTTTATACTATGTCCTTTTTTTGAGACATTTATTTTATAATGATTCATGAGCCGATTAAATACTTTTAATATTTTTATAATTAATTTATATTTGAATTTGTGTATTAGAAAATTGTCAATATTTTATAGTCACTAGTAGCGTTGTTAAATTAGCTCGATTTGATAACTCAAGATCTAACTACAAAAATATTACCAAAGCCTTGAGACTTCGCTAATAGATGTCCAAATCTTTGTGCCATCTATACATTTTCCTGGATAAAAAAAAATTGAGTTTACCGTTTTTAAAAAGCTACCCTAGTCAGTAGTCTTAATAAATTTATGAAAGTCAAGTTATTCTTAAATGACTCCTAGAATAATTTTTTATAAATAAATTCAATTATCCTTCTCCCTACACAGCCCTGCATACGCTCCTGACCATATCTTTGGGGAAAGGGTTACAAGGAATTTGTAAAACTTTATATAAAAAATAAACAATTTTTTTTTCTTGCTAGCGTGATGTAATCTTATGAAATAATTAGAAATAATGACTTTACTTTTACAAAAAAAAAAGAAGCCTATTTTATATTATATTATATTATATAATATAATATAAGCTTTTAAGTGTAAAATATTTATATTTTCCTATAAAATATTAATTGTATAAATAATTATAATACTAAATTAAATAGATATGAATAAAGTCCTTTAATTTATAATCAATTTTATTAAGAGTTTGTTTTTTTTAAAGGTTTTTGAAAGGGCTCTACCTAAATTAAAGCTTAAACTTTCTATTTTTATCAATAATGGCTGATTTTTAACTGTATATATCGTTATCGTCGATATATCCACCTTTTTTTCAAAATGCTATTTTGTTGATAAATGAATTTTTCAGTACCGTGTTCTTATATATCCACTAAAATAATGATTAAATATTGTTTGAGAAATAATCCTTTCTAGGCATTATCTATATTATGATCTCCTATTTAAGATACAAAAAAATTTTTTTTTAATGCTCTCCTGAACAATTTTAAAAAAAAATGGACATAGAACATTATAATACTCAGTCGACGATATATATTATAGTCTAATCAATGACATATATCAATACCTAGACTAATAATTCATTCATTTAAATGTCAATCAACACAAATCTTTCGGTGGCACGTATTTTTGTTTTCAATATATATGTTAGCGTCAATGTGTTTTTTCCTGCAATGTATTATTTTTATCAACTTTAAATCATTTTTTTGAGCGCATTTTTTAAAAATTTAAAAATCTGATTTTACCGGAAAATGTATTCTATCATGTTTGAAATACATACCTTATGAATTTCAGAGAATTTTGCCGCGAACTTTTGAATTTAAATATAATTTATAGTCGTTTTTCCATAGATTTTTTTTATATAAATTAGAGACCTGCAGGTCCGGCCCTAAACCCGGCCCGGCCGGACCGTATTTTAAATTTTTTAAATATACCCGGGCCGGGCCTAAAAATTTTTTTTTAAACATATCCGGGCCGGGCCTAAAAAAATTTTTTAAAATATATCCGGGCCGGGCCTAAGATTGTTAAACCCGGGCCGGGCCTTAATATTTTTTATAAAAATTTTTACATTATGAGTTCTTGGTTGTAAGATTATATTATATTATAGTTATGATTAATATAATATTGGGTGATGGTTAACACTACCTAACACCCACAGATCGATCTAATTATTAATTTCCTGCAAATTTATTCAAAGTATATAAAATATAGTATGTGCTCAAAATATCCATTTTTATAAATAACAGTTTTATAATTTTTATAAATTCAATATAATATTCTCAAAATATTAGCTTTTTATATGTATTTTTTAAATAATAAGCGATAATACTCGCTGAAAGATATGGTAAAATACCTCATATAGGTGAATGAATTTTTGTATATACCAGGTCGAATATAATTTTAAAAAATTCCGAGTCGGGCCTGAAATTTTTAAATCCGGGCCGAGCCGTAAAAATTTTTTTAAAAAATATCCGGGCCGGGCCGGGCCGGGCCTAAAAAATTTAAAGCCGGGCCGGGCCGTGCAAATGGTGCCTCTGCAGGTCTCTGATATAAATTATAAATGACAAAAAGGTTAACGCCAAAATGGTCTACCATTCATAAGATAGGTGTTCTAAACAAGCTGGAATACAATTCCGGTTATATCCAATTTTTAAATTTAAAAAAAACGCGCTTCAAAAAATGATTTAAAATTGAAAAAATAACGCATAACCGGAAAAAAAACACATTGACGCTAACATATATATATATATAAATAATTTTCATTAAAATTTTATTTAAAAAAAAAATCAGAGTTGCATTTATAAAAATAATGATATGGAAAACCAAAAAATTGCCGAGTCATCAGCTGATTTGTATCCAGCGATGCTTCCAAAATCCATTTTAATGAATTATTGGTCAGTCTTGATAAGTATTAAGAAAGAAATAAAGAAAGAAAGAAATAAAGAAAGAAAGAAAGAAATACAAAAGGCAGAGAATAATAATTCATCAATTATAATAGCTTGAAAGGATTTATTTTGAATAAAAATTTAATTTTTTTATATAAAACATACAGGTGCCGCCATGGTTCCGTTGTTTGTAATTATCACTTTTTTTGGTAACAATTTCAATAAAAATACACGCTGCAATTACTATTTAGCCGTCACTTTTTTCAACAATCTGACCGGATATTGTTGCGCATATTCCCAGTTAGGAATAGCCATAGATCGATTCAGAGCAATAGTAACCCCGTTTAAGAAAAACTTTACCCACTATCAAGCCCAAATATTCGTGGTACTAATATGGGCATTATCTACAGTGGCTGCCTTACCAACCTTGTTAATACTGCTCGGCAGGAAAAGCGAGAGACAAATGCTTATAGATTCAAAATTATATTGTCAATTTATGAGGGTCGAACATTTGCTCATTATATCTCTTCAGATATCTATAGGATGTGGTTTCCCGGTTTTGGCTTGTTGCTTGCTCTACGGTATCGTGATAGCTCGTTTGTGGAGCCGTGGTAAGACTTCAGTGACAGGTGTTACAAAAAAGCCTTTGGTTTACGGCAATCCTAGTAAAACACTCGATTCGAAGACTTATAACGGTACAGCAAAATCAAGGAGTATCGACGATGCCAAAGTATCTCTTGTATTGAACAATGGCGAGGATTCGTCTGTGACGACTTACAAATATTATGTTAAGGGGAAAAAATTTAGCATGGTAAGCTTTGCAGAGGATACTAAGAATCCTGCGAAATCGACCGATAATGCCAAACCCCTTGTTAAAGGCGATTTGAATCAAAGTACCCGTCATAATCCGCTTTCTTCTACTTCTTTAAAAAGGAATAAGAGAGCCATCAAAATGGTCGTCATTATTTTGATATTGTACACCATATGTAGCATACCATTTTATATTATGACAATATTAGAAATCGCCTTCAGGGATATGAAGATATCCTTCATCTTCGAACACTTGCACAACATTCTCATAATGACCGATCATTGGCTTCATGTCGGGGTTTACTTGTACTTCAATACGTCTTTCCGTCACGCTTTTATAGCCACTTTTATGACCCCGATGTTTTCGTGTTGCTCAACGATCTTCCCCAAAATTTGCGCGTCACATTTAACGAAATGTTTTACGAATGACGACGAAACAACCGAAGAATTAAAACGGGAGAACACGATAATGTTTAATTCAGTATCGAAACCCTCGTTAAAACTGAACAATGATAATAGTTTTCCTAAATTAAATGGCCAATCAAAGACCATAAATCAAGCAAGTGATACAACTCGAAGCTCCGAAATCCTAGGGTCCCACGTGTCTAATAATATTAAAAATACTCTTATTCCAGATACTTTATATTTGACATCTAATAATCTAACACTCATAAATTATACATTCTCGGAGAATGTGTAAAACCGATCAATTTTTTGTATCACTGTTAACAATTTTATTTTGATATCTCAGGAATAATGGCTAAGGAGAATGGCTAAGGAGTTGTGTTTAATTTTTAAAAAAAATAAAATTAATTTTATACCACTTCTTAGAGAAGATCTGTAAAAGAAATAATAAAATTGTACTATGTGGAGTAAATGTCTCTATCGTAATAAAATTTTGATTATATAAATAATATATATTATTTACTTTTTTCATAAAAATATTCAATCATACCAATTATTATATAATCCCTTCATTCATTATGTTTTTTTTTTAAAAGCTTAAATTTTTTTTGTAAAAACGTTTAAAAAGATGACCAAGTATTAATTTGGAAAATTATCATATATACCAACTTTTACTATACAATATATAATTATTATTATTAATATTTTATCTAGTTTTGAGCTAATGATTAGGGATGCTTGCAATTCATTAAATAATATAATATAAATGTCTTTTATAATAAATAAATTTAGACCGGTAATCTTAATGTATGTTGAATATGAATGAATATTCAAAAGTTAGAAATAAAATATTTTACTATTTTTTTCAAGATAATATATTCATCTTTATTTTTCAAAACGTATAACTATGGCCGAACGATTGTTAACTAATTTGTAATATAAAATAAAGTAAGAAGAAACCTTATTATAATGCATTAACAATATTACGATTTAATACAATTAATCCCTTTAAAAAACAATAACTAAACTTTTTGGATTAAGATTTAGATAAAAGTTTCAGAAACAATTTATCACCAAAAAAGCATTAAATTTATCTTTATTTTCATTAAAATTACATTCTGAAAAGTAAAAAAAAACAGACGTTTATACATGTATTCTGGTTTTTTCTATCTTCAAATATCGTAATAAATCACATAATTTATTGTTTTTTTTTTGTTTTTAAACTAATCAAGCGTTCAATTATAAAATCGTAAATTATTATTTTATTTTTATAGCCAAAAATAAAGCATAATAAAAAAAAATTCAAAGAAAATATTAAACCAATATAATTTTAAAAGAAAAATTTTCTCATCTACGCCCTAAATGGGCATTAAGTAGTTTGGTCTAATTTAGGCCTAAAAAAAATAAGATAGGAAAATTATAATTTGAAAGGACAGGGGGGGGGGGTTATATTTAATTTTTGTCTCATATAAATTATTGATTTTGATAACGTTGGGCACGGGCTAGCATTTTAAGGGCCGCCAACATATGTTTATTGTTTGATTTTATGAGGGTAAAAAAACAAATGCAAGTTTATATAATATTAACTTACTTAAAATAGTCAAAAGTAAAATAAATGGCCATATTTGATAAGTAATCCAGATTACACATCTAGTCGAAGTATGGTTCATTTTGTAAAAAGCACAGCCCTTCATAGACCTGGATTTTGCTGATTAGGCCCGGCCCAGATCCGCAGTCAAAAAATTTATGTAAGACACGGCTAATAAGTTTCAAAAATTTTAATCATTTTATTTTGCAACACGATGAAATTTATTATTATTAAGAAGAGAAAAATTGCAATATTATTTTAGGTTAGCGACCGTTTAAATAGGCTAAATATAAATGAAAAGTTTGTAAACTGGGCAGAAAGTCCATAACGGTAAAATTGCCTGAATTTCTTGTATGCCAACTCTAAAAAAGCAAGGTTTGACATGCCTAGCCATATCTTGTTAAGACTGTGTCCTAAATATATCGAGAAAAAAACCTCAAAATTTATAAATTTTCGCAAATTAATAAAATTGTTGAAACATGTCTGAAATCTTCCATTTTCTATACAAAAAAAAGCAAAAACAAAATAAAATTAAGAAAAAAAAACCCCAAAAACCAGAATAAAATACGAAAAATAAATAACATGCTTTAATTATCCATCTGAAATTTTTTTTTATTCACATTAATTTATTTCTTTAAATTTTTGTAATTGACGAAAAATGATTAAGAACACTATTTTATTTTTACATTAAAAATAACTTGTTATTTTTTTATATTTTTTTACATTTAGCAAACTGCACAAGCCTAAAACAAACAATTTTAAGCTATTTTTTAGTTATTGAATTTTTTTTTATTTTTCTATTACAAACAATCTTTAAAAAAATTTTTTAAAGTTATTTATTCAAGATACTAGAAGATAAAAAAAATATGATAGATTTATAAAAATTAGATAGAACTTTATTTTCTTAATTTTGAAGTCTGGTTGTCGAAATCGTATAGGAGACGATGCAGTCCTTGGATATTATGCTTACTTTTCTTTTTAGATAAAAAAAGATGTTTCACCAGCTAGAGTCTTCATTAATACAAAAACTTTGTGGTGGCAAAACTTTGGTTTTATTTAAAAAGCCCGATTTAAGGTCGATTTTTTAAAAACTGTCTTAGGATTTTAGCCTAAATAATATGATATAAACCTGGGAGATTTTACTTATAGATGAGCATAAAAGTTTTGAATTGCCGAATCTCGAGGCTTAAATAATATATGACCTAAAATCTTTGGGCCGGTCTTAAAAATCGACCCAAATAGTGCCTTTTAATAAAACACTAATATACTTTGAATTGCCCTCATCTTAATTGGGCGAGTTATATATATTAAGCTTTAGATTCGACTTATTAGATGTTAAATTTATTCTTAAAAAAAATGACAAACTAAGAATAATAAAAATAAAAAAAATGCTGTTTTATCTTTTATTTTTTAGTCTAAGAAGTTTGAAAAATATGAAAAAGCAAATTTGATTCCAGTGCTGAGAAACGAAAATGATAGAAACGAGAAGGTGAATATATTTATTCTTAAAAGGGAATATTTAAATGTCGCGATAAATAATCGATATCTATTATTTACACATTACTATGATTAAATATTTTTTAAACGTATTACTCGATAAAGTGAAGATTTCAATGGAAGAACGTTTTAAGCAGTTAAAACTTTTCAAGAATCATTTATGGTTTCTATTTGAATTATTTGCATTGGTAACTGCACCTGAATTAGAGCAAAAAGAATATTGTAATTAATTTTTATATTTTATCAACTGATCAAGATTCTTTGGAAAACAATATTAATGTAGTAAATCTATTTACTGAAATTAAAAACTTTTAACAAATATATAATAAAGTTTAAATTTTATTTTTGTATAATATATATAATACTTTAACTAACATAATAATTATATTAATGTTTAATGATATAAAAATGAACATTGAAAAGTTATTATATAAATAAATTATACATTACGCGATTAAGATTATAATATATTCTAATCATCATGTGAGATGAGGCTGCCAATGAAGCTGATGTAATTGGCCCTGTGAACTGCTATTGCGAGTCTTTGTCTTAAGAAGAAGCCTTCACGAGGTTCATCTGTTAGTTTGCGGATTAGCGATCCAAGTTCCTTGAAGAAAGAAAGAGCACGATTCCCAAAGGTAGTCAAGGTAGTGGAAATGATGGGAATGAATAAGTGATCTTGGGATATCTCTGAATATTTTGCAATTTTTAGAAGCTCCTTGTTCTCCAGAATGTTAAGGGATTGATTGGAAGGAGCCAATGGATCAATACAAGAGTAATCCCATACCAAGAATTGACCTCGCTTCCAGGGAATTTGAGAGATCCCGTCAGGACGTTTCCCATCAGATCTGTGTATAAGCAAAAAGTTTTTTTTTAGAAATCTTGCGCTGTATTTACACTAATAGAAAGCCCCGCCAAATATATCTATTGTTTTGAGGATTATTATAACTATTCCAATCTACGTGGTAATAGCTGAACGCAACTTCTCCGAGCTCAAACTAATCAAGAATTACTTAAGATCCTACACAGCTAAGGACTATTTCTTAAACTTATCCCTAATTATAATTGAAAATGACATTGTATTGTCCTTAGATTGTACTTTTATTGCAAATAAAAAGACTAGGAGGATAAATGCTACTATTTATTTAAGGTTTTAATGATTATATAAGTCTGTGATTATACACGGTCATGCACTATATTAATTTTTTTCTTAATGCCTTACTCATATTTATGATTAAAATTCAATAAATTTTACCAATAATGCCTTTAGTTTTTGTTGGATTACAAAAAGTTTTCAAATAATCTTAGATAAATTGTGATTTTTTAAAGGGCCCCAGAATAAGTTATTGCTATAAGCCACCAATAGTCTCGGCAAGGAGCTGATCATATTAATACCAAATAAAGACGGTTTTGACTGTATTACATGATAAATTCTATATGTATAACTTCCTACCACCCCAAATTATTATAGTAGAGTAGACGGGTTATAGGCGTAGCCGGGGGGTGGAGAGAGGGTGTCAAAAATTCCCCCTACGGAAATTTGCCTGTACTCGAAAATATAATTTTAAGATAATAAAAATCCCCCACCCTAAACACCCCTCTGCCATAAAGAAGTTAACTATAATTCAAAATTCTAAGAAAAAAAAGAGAAAATCCTAAATTATTTTTATAAAAATCTAATATACCCAACCCAAAGGCCTACAATATGTGGCCCTAAAATCTAATAAAATTTATGGGGAAAACACTCCACCTAATAGAACCCTCCCCCCTAGCAAAATCCTGGCTACGCCTCTGAGACGGGTAATTAATATCTTTATATAACATATCATCTTGAAAGCATTCAAAAAATATTGCCAAAAATAAGTTATAAATTTTTTTAATAAATATAGTAAATGATAAACTTAGAAGATTATTCGAGATTATATATTTAGTGTATTAGATAATAAAAGTGATCCTGAGTTTCTATCTCACCGGATTTAATGCTACCCCTCCACCCCCCCCCCTAGATATGGGATCAATTGTAGAATTTGCCAGCCCAGTTCGCAGACTTTTCGGACTACCCCTAAACTAAGTTTTTTTTTGTTTATCGTATAAACTGGATCCCGATACTATTATATTATTATTAATAATTTTAAATCCAAGTTCTATGAATTTATTTTAATTTACATATCAGGAAAATACTGATTGAATTACCACGTTCTCAAGTTAAAATATTGTTCGGCGTTAAATATAATTATCAGGTTTATGACATGGAGTTTTTAAAACTTGTAGTATCTTATAATTACCCATATATCTAAAAAGGGGGCGGGGCCATTTAATTCGTGTTTGTAATAATAAGCATTGCTTAAATATTTCATAAATCGGTAGCATCTTTCAACCTTCACATTAAAACGAATAAATATGGAATTGCATCTTAAATAAGGCATCATTTATTATGGATAAATAGCTAAGCTAATCATTATAAATAGTTTTTATATTCCTAATACAAATTAAAAATTTATATTAAATTATAATAATTTTGGTGGCTATATTTCAATCAAATTATATACCCTTTCAAAAATTTCGATTTGTACTTGATTTTCTGTCAGTATCCAAAATTCTATAATTTTCAAATTGAAAAGTAACTCCAATATTATAGTTATATTTTAAAAATTAGTTGCCACTTTTCATTGATTGTATTTTTAAAAAAAATCGGTACTTTTCGTTACTTAAAAACTGAATACTCTGTTAGATTGTTTCTCATTTAAAACATAATACCGCGATTAGATTAAATTTCAGACCGTGTCCAAAATATTAAAAAAATTGGATTCGCAAACTTTCTAAACTTATTGAAAAAGAAGAAATAATAAGCCTTTTCAAATAAAAACATTCTCAAAATATAATTCTAAAAAATTTTTAAATTTATAAAACTTTTAGAATTTTTTTTTTTTCAAAAAATAATTTGGACATATTAAGAGAAAATGGAATTAAAACTAAAAATAATATAAATTTGTTATAATAATTTAAATAAAAAGAAATACATATTATATAATTTAGAAATCAATAGCAAAGGGGGGTGGGGAGTGGGGAAATATTTTAAAAATAAGGACGGGGTGAAAACGAGTCCATTTCCTTCAACCAAAAAATTCAATTTGAAATCCAAGGGAATTGCAAGTGTTTCTTCGAAACACTCCCATTTCCCTCTTAGTTCAACATCAACACACATGGCTAATGTTGTTAAACGGCTCGATTTGAGCCTATTTTTAAAAACGGTTACCTCTAACTCAATATTCCATCCAAAATAATATTACGCAAGCTTGAAGATTTTGTGTGTGGAAGGAACAACGATTTGGAAAACTATTCCCCTTTACTATTGATATTTAGATAAAATAATATTATACCGCCCAATTTTAATAATATATTTTTTTTATAAAAAAAAATTCGTTCGTATAAATTTTAAAAGTAAATATTTTAATATTTTTATGCAAAGAAAAAAAACTAATAAAACAAGGCGCTTATTTTCATTATAATATTTCTAGGGGTATTTAGCATTAAATCATAAAATAAAAAATTTTCAATCAATCCTTCATAGGTTCAAAGGACGATATAAAATTGTGGCCGTGACCGGGAGGCGGTTGATTTTTGCGTTTTATGAGGTCCCTTATTTTGTCGGCTTTGTCCAAGAGCATTTCCACTTCTTTCTCGCGATCGAAAAATGTTATCAATTTTTCTTCTTCCTCCAATTCCTCCTTAGCGCGCTTAATTTCTGCCAGCTTACGCTTTTTGTAGTGTTCCTTTATCTATTTTTTTTTCATCATATAAAAAAGAAAGGAAATGAGGGTGGGATAGAGTAGAGAAGGGTAAGGTCAAAAGGAGATTGTTATTTTAATAGATATATAATTATCATAATCGCACATTAGAATCTTGTTAATGACCGTGTTAAACGTATAGTTTTTGTTATGTTTGATTTTGAAAAAAGTGTGCTATATATAGTGAAAATTCCCTGAAAAAAAATATGAACTGTTAACAATTTTAAGCTAATTTTTTGTTATATTATCCGCAACAAGAAAAGGATTTTAAAATATCAGAAGAAGTATACAGTATTTGGTGACCAAATAACAATTTTACACTATTTTTTTTGTTAAATTATCCGCTACAAGAAAAGGATTTTAAAATATCTAACGAATTCATATTCAACTAGTGTTGTTAAACTTGCTCGATTTAGCTAATTTTTTAAAAACGGTTAACTCAAGAAATGCTAACCAAAAGTAAATTACTGAAGTCTATTGATTTTGCGTCACAGATGGCAGAAAGGTAGGACTTCTATTAACAAAATTTCGTGACTTAGGTAATAATGCTAAAATCTACTAATACTATGTTCACCCATAAACATTGAAAATATTTCAAATGAGATTATTAACTTTTGGAGAATATAAAAAAAATTCCCCCATTTTTAATGATATTGGTTTAAAGATAAATGGCAAATTAAATATAAATATTGGATTAGTTTTTGGCAATGTCGGAAAATATCGGATCGGATTGGTAAATGTGAATCGGCATAGATCTAATTCAAAGATATCAAAAATAATGGTGGGTGCATTTTTGCCAAAAAAATATTCCATTTTTCCGACCTTTAGAGAAGCTCATATCTCAGCCGCTGTTTGGAGTTGCAGGCTATTATTTTCTTCTTCTTAACTATAATATATGCAAAACTCTAAGTAAAAATTTTTATAAAAACCTGTGGTGGGGTGTTGGAGGGGGGGGGGGTCGAATTGAAAATCTGGTGATTTGTCAGGGAATTCACCATATCGAAAAAAATAATAAATAAAGGCACTTAGCATTTCTCTGCAAAAGAATTTTAAAAAAAATGGGTATTCATTCTAAAAGAAATAAATCAATCATTCTCACAAATAAAAGACTAGTTCTTCCAATTCGAACAAAAAGTACCATTTCTTAAGGCTGAAACTGTTTTTTATGGAAGAAAAAAACCCTAAAAAAAGCAAATGTTAATTTTATTCAAAAAAAGAAATTAACCAATTAAAACTTATTATTTGATATTTTAATTAATCTTATATTTCCGGTGTGATTCATTTTTTTAGAGAAAAGTTAAATTGGCGGGTTTAATTTTTTGAATTTTTTTCCCCGCCGTTTATTTAACGGAATTCTAGACCGGAACAAATCCTAGGAACCGGAAACTATTATTAAAAATTATTTTAGGGGACCATATCAAGAAACGTCATTCAAAAAAAATAATAATACTCGAAAATCGTAAAAGAAAAAAAAAACTTGATTTTGCAAATTTGTTTCTCTTTCTTCTATCCATTTGTTGAAGAACGATTTCTGTATTTCTATATCCCGACTCTCGTGAAGTTTAACCGTGTCCTCAACCAGGGACTTGGCCAGATCAACGACGGGGAAATTCGATATTTTTTTCTGCTTTTCTAACTGTTCAACGACTGCCTGTAAAATTTTTAAAAAAGGGGTAGGTTGATGGGGGTTAACGAGTTCGATATTATATTTTAAAAAAATACTGAAATTGATACAATTTTTTTTTGGAAAGTTCGGAAAATACTAGATATGTCTGAATAGGGTGATCTTATATGGGGATTCGGAATCTCTTGATCTATAATCCTTTACTGAGGGCAATTTAAAAAAAAATTAAAATTCGATTTAACCGGAAATGGATTCTAGCATGCGTGGAGAACCCAAACTGTAAATTTCAAACAATTTTAGCCAGACATTTTAGTTATTTTAATTATATGAAAAACCAAGTAAAAATTAATATAAATTAGAAGTAGCTCTAAAGTTCATGGCAAAATTGTTTGAAATTTACAGTTTGTGCTAGAATACATTTCCGGTTATATCGGGTTTTAAAATTTTCTAAATCGCCCTCGGTAAAGGATTTAAGATTTCGAATCCCCACGAATTCCGAATCCCCATACGACATATATATATAAATGACTTATATGAGCATTTGAATTTGGTCTAAAACTTTAAGCGAAAATCAAAATAATAAATTCCTAGACGAAAAAAAATAAATAAATATTTAAAGATTATTAATATTGAGAAGTTATGAAATCCTGATAAATTTTAGGATAATTTGTGGCAACCTATTACAGATCTTTGGAACGAGGAACACTAATTGGTCAATTTATTGAGGAGAATAAATTCAAATATGGTATTATATTAAAGATACGCGCTATAAGCAGCAGCTATTAAACAATGCTACAATACTATTATGTTATGTAAAGATAAAATCATAATTTTTGGGAATGGCATGTGTCACTTGATTTAGGGAAATTTTTTTTTTTACTGAAACTAACTTCCCCAAGCATGTAACTTGGGGAAGGAGAGGCTTAGACAAATAACGTAAAAGGTTAATTTAGGCGTTGTCTAGTAAGTTGCTAAATTTTGCTACTAATTACTGGTTTGTATGTGGCTATAGTTTTAATTTAGCAACCCCTGTACATGCTAGAAAATTATTTTTTTTATAACATTATTTTATAATATTTATGACCTGACACTCTTTCTCGATCGCGTCCAGATCGTAAGATAATTCGAACTTTTTAGGCGGTTGATCGAAATTAAATACGGGTAAATGCATTTCTTGCTTCGAGTTATTATCCGCTTCCATTTTTTGGATCTCCGCTATCTCTTGGCGATAGTTATCGAATTGGCAAAAAAAATTATCAACCTAACAAAATAAAAATGAATGAGGTTTGTTTTAAGTATATAATAATAACTCCCTATCAATTATGTATAAAAATAACTTAGATTGTGAAAATTCATTTCATTAAATGCATTTAAAAGTGTCCATATACATAGAAGTCAGCTGTAATACCATTTTGTGAGTTGTTCGATTAAATGACATTAATGTGTATTCATATAAGGGCAAGTCGGTCGATTAACCGATCAAATTCAGTCAATTAAACCCGAAAAAATTTTTTAAAATATTTTTAAAAAAATGAATAAACAATAAAAATAGATGATCACAGAGCGGCGTATTTACTGGGATCCCAATATAAGGGGAGCATCTTATTACTAGTAATGAATTTAATGAAGTATATGATATAATACAATAATTCGCCATTTTACAAACTGGCGAATCAAAATATTTCATATGACATCATAAATTTCATAAGTAGCAGCAAATTATGTGGAAAGTAGCAACTTCCATAAGAAACAGTCAGATTCAGGCCTCAAATTTCCTATTTCTACTTCTTCTTTAAAAAAAAAATTGGTCGATTTGGGTTAATATTCTTACTAAAACAGAAATTGACTGAAGATCTCCGCAACAGGAAAATTGATAAAAAAAATATTAAAGAAAAGAATATAATATTGAATATGAATTAAAACAAGACTCTGTCACGTAGAGCGAAATATTAGTTATTGAATGACAATGAATTCAAAAAATATCATAAAATTAATATTATAGATTCATTTTACTATCATATACAAAATATTTATTGTCTTAAAAAAACATCTATTGTCAAATATCGGTCAATTGATAGAATCGAATTTGACCATAACCTTGATTCATATTCATATAATGATTAATAAGAGAATTGGTTGAAGTGCAAACACAAAATGGCGCTACAGCTGACTCCAATATACATGTATTTAATTAATGAACCGCCAATTTGGTAAAATATAATACATCGTTGCCCCCCCATCACCCCGTTTATAACGTTTTCTCGCGGTTTCCAGCGTTCAAAAATTATTTATATTTTTAATAAATTTAACCAATAATTTAACGGTCTTAACTATTCCGCTGTTTTTTTTCTGTTTTGCCCTAATGAAATTCTCGATCCTTTTAAAAATTTGGCGGTTCCTATATCAATTCCCAAATTCCGTTTAAATACCAAATTATCGCTCTCCAGAACAATATAAAAATTTCAATTCTAAAAAAACAGGCTTTTACGGTGTCCTTAGTGATAGCCGTCTCGGTATCTTCCGTTAGATGTTTGTTCAGAATATCTAATGCCTTGTCGAATTTTCTCCACAAACTCAACCCCAATATTTGAGAACTTCTCCCTTATATTAATGAAAAAACATTTGATAGAATGCAATTTTTTTTAAAAAATATATTTTATATTTATATATTTATTCTCACTCTTACTTACACAACCGGTTAGATTTTCCATTCCATTACCGGAATCGAGGGAGTTTTTAGGCTATTTACGCTAAACTTAGATGAGCAAAGTTCTTAAGACTAATAAGTTCTATCGTATATCAATTCTCAAAATATGAATAAGATAATAATGTTTAATATCGTGATATACTAATTTTTTAAAAAAAAAAAACTTCAATGAACATCAATATTTTAAAAAGGAAAATTTCCATATCGGCAAGACTAAATACTGCATTTCTAAAAAGTAAGTGTGGTTAATCGATTAAGCCGAGTCGACTCAGCATAAATTCTAGTCAAGTTTTGAGTCGCAAAATTCATTTCAAATTGAGAGGCTCAATGCATGAGTCAGCTTCAGAGTTGGCTCAATGAGTCGGTAAAAATTTATGTTGAATCGACCTGCTATTATTATTTACTCCACGACAAAAATATTTTAAAAAAATTTAACCCCACTTTTTCGAAATTTCTAACTCCGTTTTCTGTATCGAGATATATTAGTAGATGTATCTGTATGTAGTTACATCTTTAAACGATATATTTAGTAATTTTAAATATAGCTAAATCAGTATTTTATCCAGTAAAAATATTACGCAAGACCGAAGATTTTGCTCACTCATAGATGGCAAATATAAAGTTTTGACATCTATTCGCAAAATCTTAAGCTTAGGTAATATTTTTCTCGCGAAAATATTTAGTTAACCATTTTAAAAAAAATCATCTCAAATGGGGGTATTCAGCATCACTAGATTTGTCTCTATTTCAATCCATTTTTAGACCATGTATTTGGAACCATCTTCAAATTATATTTTGACAACTCTGCTATTCAGCAAGGACAGGGTAACTTAAAAAAAAATTGTATTCCTATTAGGGATCTGTAAAAGAAGACGTGACCCGAGTAAATTTTTTATATAATTTCGGTTCGTGCTGGGTCTAAAAATATTATTTTCCCAGATGGAATTCAAAAAATAAAAGAGAACTCAGCCATCAAAAATAAAAACATAATTCCTTATCCTGTTAACATAAAAATGAATTCCAGTCTGGGTATGATTTATTTTTAATATTTATACTATTAATAGCTTGATCCCTTTTTTTTTTATTTAAAATTATTTTTCTAGATCAAAAAACTATATTTTCCATTCATCCTTCCCTCTTTTTTTTTCTCCAAAAATTAGAATATTATTTGAAATATTTGGAGCCACGACCGTAGGCAGTTCAACCATTGAGGAAGGGGGTGAGATCGACGGGGTTCGATGGTCCCGGGTTTTAGGAGAGTGGGGCCAGATTTTGCGGGCATTGTGGTCATCGTACAAAGCTCTAAATGCGGGTGGTAGTCGTGTAGAATGAAGTAAAATGCATAATTTAACTCTCGGAGTATATGTAGAACAATTGAGAATTTTCGTCGTAGTTTTAAAAAAAAAGAAGAAGAATTCATTCCAAATATGTACAATAAATTTCGTCAAACAAACTAAAAAAATAATTAATCAATCATCCTGAATACATATTTTACACCTCTTATATAATAAAAATTCGTTGACAACAACTTTTGTTCTTGTCCTCAAAAAATAAAATAACAACGAAAGTATTATTTATATTAGATTTTATGCATATTGGCCATCCTTAAAACTGGTCTAAGACCAGTTTCAAGTGAAGAAATTATCATAACGCGGTTATATAAATAGTAATGTCGTGTAAAGGATAAAGAACAATGATAAACACAAAAATAAAGGGGATAAATGAATGAGAAACAATGGAGGGGAGGGAGCCTTTGAAAGAAGTTCTATTGAAAAAAAAATTTATACATATATTGGCCATCCTTGAAATTGGCTTGGTCTAGTTTTAGGGTGAAAAAAATATAGTAAAAAGGTATTGTAAAGTCGTATAAAAAAATTTAATATATATATAACAAACGGGTTTAAAACGCAACATTATTTGATTACGTCTTTTATTTATATTCAAAAAGAAAATAAAAAAAGATTATTTTTTTGCTGACAAGAGGGGAAAAAGTCTTGTCAATAAATAGAATATTAGATGCGAGAGAATTGCTTTGTCGAAAGGAGATAAGAGAATTTTATGATTTTTATCAAGATCACTTTTTATATCCAAGGTGTAAATCAATCATGTAAAAAATGTAAATCATAATACAAAATAACGTTTATCCAATTTACAAAAAAAATATAATATATCGAACGATCCGCTTAAACCTTCATTATCTAAAATGGAAAAGTCTATTATATTTCGTTAAAAAGAATACTTTCTAACTTAAGAACTATTTTTTTTAATTTTGTTTTTCTCTTTATGCACTTTAGCTTTACGTTCTTCTAACTTATTATTTTTTTTAGAATTAAATGTATAATTTTTTTTTTCTTGATATATTTTTTCCAAATCTTTGAAACTTCAACTTGAATTTTTTTCAACAAAAATGTAATTTAAAGTTTCTAAATTTTTCCAGATGGCTCAATTATTAAGATGTGTTTCGAGCCCACAATTATACTCAATCATATCCAAGCCTGACTATTACACTCCAAATTTTTTAGAAGACTCAGGCAACATAACCTTAAGAATTATTGCTATTTTGAAATCATTAACTATGTATTCTTCACCGATTATATTGTTATTCATCCAAAGAAATGGATATTATAAGAAGAACCATGCCTATGTAATGTATATCTTAAAATCACATTTATTCTCTTCTGTATACTATAATCTTTGGCAATTTATTAAAAGATAATTATAATAGCGATTCAGATAACCCAACTACATCACAAAACTAGAACATGAGCAATAGAAGAACTTGCTCATATTGCTTTAGAATTATTAACATAAAAAATAACAATTTAATAACCATCCATGGACTACTCACTTCAAGATGCCCAGGTGGTAATAAATCTCCAGCCTCCCTGCTTGAACCTTCATCACTTAGCATCTCACCAGATATTCTACCACCACCTTTGATCTCAACCCCAAATGACTATCAATTATTTAATCCACCAAATAAAAATCCAACACAGGGAAAGACCTTTATAAAAAATTATCCAATTCCTGATTTGGAATACCCAAAATTTTTAACAAGCTATTTTAGCCCTACCATATAACGAATTCCAAAAGCAGCCCTTAAATTAATTTATCCTTTTTATATGAAAATCATTAATAATATTTTACAAAATCCAGAAGATCTACTAAATTGGAGAAAATTAATATATTTCCCAACCCAACCGCACTATGCCAAACCATCAAAGAAAGAATTGAAAACTTTGATCTTAATTTTGAAAAATTAACACCAAATATCAACGGTCCTGCTAAAAAGATTTAAAGTAACCCCTCACACAAACTAATATATAATAATTTCAATCTAAAAGGAGCTCTCCGAGCTCTTGCTAACGCAAACACTTTGGCACCCGATAATATCACCACAAGAAATCAACTTTTAGAAAAACATCCGAGCCCCAAATACACTCCTCAAATACTGCCTATAATAAATTCAAAGATAAATATCACTCCCGGAGAAGCCTTAACCGCTATTAAATCTTTTCCAAACGATTCTGCTCCAGGACTGGATTACCTTCGCTCTTTATTATTGACCTCTTGAGTTTAGACATTTCCGACTTCTTAATTCTATAACGAAAATTTTTAATCTTATTATCAACGGGAAATTACCACATAAACTAGCACCAATAATCTTTGGTGATCGACTGATTGCGCTTGAAAAAGCTGAAAATCAAGTGCGCCCAATAGCTATCGAAATTTTCTACCGACGAACCATTTCAAAAATTATTTGACTCAAACCTACAATAACCTTAAGCTTAGCTCCTTACCAAGTGAGATTTGGAGTAAAAGGAGGCTGTGAAGCCGCAATTTATTGCAGTCGACTAGTTTTATCCAACCTCCCTGAAGATTATATAGCAAAACTAGACATATCCAATGCCTTTAATTCAATTAATAGGAATAAAATGATCGATACTTTCTAAACATTCCCTGACTACCACAATTACATCCATCTTAGCTTACACAAATTTAATGATTATATAATTAATTCTGCAGAAGGCCTTCAACAGGGTGACCCATTAGGACCACTACTTTTTTGCTATACCTTAAACACCTAATAAGTGATATTGCTCTTACATGCAAACTCAATCTACACGTTTGGTACCTTGATGATTGTACTATATCGGGGACCATTTCTTCAATCCAGAATTGTCTAGATATAATCAACAAACACTTTGATGAACTTAATTTATCCTTAAATATAAATAAATGCGAAATTTATCCTTCTCCGCCTCCAACAGACACCATATTAGATAACTTTAGACGGACACCCTTACAAAATTTCAGTATATTAGGAGCCTCATTGGGAGGTGCAGAGGGAGTTTTTAATTTTTTAAATAATTACCTTCAATCACTATTCCCCAAACTATCGATCTTAATTATATTACCCATCCATCAAGCATATTACATTCTCAAAAACGCCCTTTTAATACCACAAATCCAGTATTGTTTAAAAACTTCTGGTGCCTTCTCTTTTGAAATTCTTTTAAAAGAATGAACAAAAGACACTACAAATGATGACAGAGTTATTAAACATCAAACTCGATTCTAACTCATAACCTCAAGCAACTCTCCCTTTTAAATCCCGAGGACTAGGCCTAAGATCGGCATTGTTTTCTTCATCTCATCAACCTGATCAGTAAAAAATATTACCTCACAAATTATTACCATCGATAAAGATAATTTATTAGATGAAGCCTTACGTTGTTGGAATATTAATGTCTTACCAAACACAGCCCCGCCAGATTCAACGAAACAAAAAGATTGGGATCAAGGATTGGTATCTCGTTCCTTAGCTTACCTCAACTTGATCGATGATTACCAATATAAATCCCTCCTAAGATCTCTTAATTTCAACAACTCT